TAAGCAGATTCTAAGTTCCACCTTTTTAAACACAAACTTAGGAGGGTTCTTGGCTGCAGCTGTATTTACCAGCTGCGGTTGCTATGGATATCGTTAACATCTTTAAGAGGTTTTTCTTAACTATGGTAAAACCGATTTGTGAAATTGATTGTCTTCTGATGTGTGATGACATCATCACTCCTATGTAATTTATAACATCATATTTCATAAAAATAAGTGCATTTGTTTTGATATAAATTTAAGCCAAATTACAGCTGTATACATGAAATCTCAATGCTCTAACAGTAGAATAGAATAAATGGATTAAAAAATATATATTAAATACAGTATTTAAAATTCATCAACAATAGTGGAAGAGCAGAGATAAACCTTAGGAAAAACACAAAGAATAAACATTTTAAATAACTAAACAAACTAAGCAAACTAAGCTAGGGGGTAAAATGAGCCAGTAAACATAAAAAATGAAAGAAATAACTATAAAAAGTTAAGCATTTTTTTTTGAAAATGGTGAAAAGGCCAAGCTACTAATCATATTGAGACTCACGCCTTACCTTTGTTCAAATTTATCTCAGCTAAAATTTAGCTTATTTTTGGGCCAAACCAACCAAATGACACTTGTTTTTAACTTTTAATGAACTATGACATTATAAATATTTAAGTAGGAATGGTACTTAAAATTTTTTCTTTAAATATATTTGTTCAATACATTAACCCCATTAGCTAAAGCTCTCCTCTAGGAGTGATGACGTCACGCATATCAGAAACAATCCATTTCACAATTTTATGTTTGAGTGTATGACATAAAGAAAAACCTCTAGGAGATTTTTATCTTTTTCATATACAGTCCTTTGACTAAATGTTGTCATGAGAATAATTAATTCACAGTTACTAGCTGCCGCATATGCTATCTAACATGTCTTGAGCTCTCTGTTTTCAATCCCATTTAATTTGCTAAAACCATGCCTCGAGTATACGGCGAAGATTTAAACTGGCGAGCAGTTTGGATGATGCAAGTTCTGGGTAATTTACCCATTATCCTTTTCGGTCTAGGCATGTAGGGATGATCTGATCAACGACAATGTTTAGTCAAAGGACTGTAGAAACTGTGGCTGGTAAATAGGTTAATGGGTGGAAAATGGGTGTTGGTTATGAAAGACTAACGTGATATGGATGAACGGGTACATTATGAACTGGAAAAGTGTTAAGGTAAAAATCTTATTATAAATCACATAATTACACATACTTTTGATTTTGTCTTCCTAACCTGTTCTAATTCACCCTCTATCTCCTTTTCCCTGGTTCGTAATTTATCTATTTCCGAGACCAGGGTATTCTGTTCTTCTTTGTACTGATCCTCAAGGAATTGCTTCTGCTTGACTACGTCATCTACCAGCTTTAAGTTCATTGTGATTTCTTCTTGTTTCCTGTGTACTTGTTGTTTAAGGTAGTCATGTTCCATGTGGAGGCTCTCAGCCATATTGCATCGACCCCACTCGACTATTTCACTAGCTTCAAGAGGTCCTCGCACACTGCCGTCCAGCCTTATGTACACCTCTCGCTTGTGGTTCTGGTAAAGAGTGCGTTGGCCACCACTTGGTCTTGGTGGAGACTGGACAGAAATCTCAACGACTTTGAGTATGTTTTCATTTAATGCACCATCCACAGATGTACCTTCACCTGAGCTTTTCACTGGAGTGAGTTTACTTGTTGACAAGGAATCAGTGTTACTTTGTTTAGTTGATAAACCAGAAGCATTATCATCTTGGGATGTTAGGTTTAATGGAGGTAACCTTCTAGGTACAAGGGGTGAACTAAGACTGAGTAGTTTGTTTGATGAAGTGTCAGGCAACTGTGTTGAATTTTCGTCCCCTGGTTGAGAGGAACTGCAGCTTCCAGATGTTATCATACTTATTGGGTATACTGGAATAAACTTGACAGAATATAAATTTGGAAATACATTAGGGTTGAAACCTTTCATTATTTTGTCTATTTGAAGTCTGAGTTGATCTTCTCTTTTGCGGTTTGAGATTTCAGTTCCACAGACAGTGCAGTCATCCTTAACACCGATAAGCAAAGTTCCACCTGGAATAGATAAAGATAACATTTGAAAACAATGAATGAATGACTGAATTTAAATGAATGACTGACTGACTGACTGACTGACTGACTGACTGACTGACTGACTGACTGACTGACTGACTGACTGACTGACTGACTGACTGACTGACTGACTGAATGAAAAAATAAAAATATTTTATTTTTTGATGAACCTTTGAGCAGACTAATGGAAAAAACCCAAAAAGAACTTTTACATTCAGGTCTTAATTAGAAATAAATTTAATCACTAGGACAATGTCATTCTTTTAGATTCTAATTTATGATTTACGATGGACCCTTCTCAAAACTGTCATGGATACCAGGCTAATATAAAAATACAAAAGCCGGATCAACACTCATGGCCTTAAAATAACTGAGGAGAAGGTGCTGTCTTTGTATTTACATCTGCAAATGGTTAGATCTTCAAGTCTTCTCGGAGAAAAACTTAAAACCGTAGGCCCTGTCTCCCAACCCTTCCTAACCTACAGTAAATGGGGGACATAAAAGAACCTGTTGAATTATTCGTGTAAGAGTAGGGGATTGTCTCCCGGTTCAACAGCCTATTCCAATTTGGAGGGATAATRCTAATCTACTAACAATTCACACTCATGATTGTAAGCTGCACAGCTGCCATGGCGCCTTAATACGCAGCCCATAAAGTCCTTCACTGGTCATTAATGTAAAGAACATTGAGATATTTGAAATGCCCTATACCATTGTTATTAATATTATTAAAAGAAATCATGCCTTTTCTCGATGGAATTTGTGGTATTTCTTTCATATTAAGAGGAAATTTTTTTCAATAATGAGCACTAATGGCAAAAAGTGCAAAGAACTAGACTTTCACATGAGTTTAGATCTCAATTTTTGTTTTGGGTTTACACTCAAAACCTTTTTTAAACAGAAACTGATGTACTATGATAAAATGCCTGTTTGAAGCAGTATTTTCAATTGTACAAAAATGTTTTGTTGCATTTGTGTTAGAATGTAGCTTTGTCAGGCATTTTTAGAAAATGTATGGGAAATAAGCAAATGAAGGCCTTTTTTCATTTTTGAATAAAATTTTGCTTCAAGAAAATAGTCTTTGGTGCTCACTGCTTGAATACGAAAAGAATTCTCTTTTAATTGTTAAAATCGTATTCTAGACAATTATCATTGAATGCTTTATGACAGTAGATATAATAGGACACAATAAAGTCTGGTGTTATTGGGTTGGGTGTAATATTTTCCCATTTCAGGCCACAAGAAATTCTCTTGCATGGGAAAAAGATTTTTTGTTTGGGCTCCATCAATATTCATGTGTTTTTTCATGCACAACTGTTAAACAAAGAAATAATACTCTAGGGAATGGCAAGGGGTGAAATGGGAAAACATTACGCCCAAGCTAGAGGACTAATTATTCAATACAAACATACCTTCACTGTTTAAAAAAGCACATATGTATTTCCCTACATCAAGTTTGAAATGATAGTCCAAGTACTTCCCTCCACCCTGCTTGTATTCAGTCAGTCTGTCCTCTGTGCCGAGCTTCTGACCCACACAGAAATACTTCCCTTGTGGTACGAGACTATTCAAAATGCTAGAACTGGGGTCTGTATTCTTTGGAGAACTTCTGGCATTTAGTAATGAACTATCTGTGTCTCCATTTGAAATGGTGCTTGTCTCCATGGCAACACCATGAGACCTAGAATTTTTACCTCTGTGATTATTAGCAGTTTTGTGCTTGCCTTTTTTGGAGTTATTTCTCACAGATGTTAGCACTGGTTTTGTAGTTGTCTGAAGCTTAGAAAGCTGAGGCTTTCGTTTGCGTCTGGGAGATATGATAAGCTCTTTACCAGTAAAAACTATCTCGTCATTTTTAGTCCCATTAAGTTTCTCCGCAGCAAGATCAAAACTGCTTTTATCTCGAAGAACCACGAAGCCAAACGAAGGTTCCTTCCAAGACTTTCGATAGACTTGGGTATCTGCCACAAGAACTGAAACACCAACGGTTTCAAATAAACTATGAAGTTTGTTCTTTAGTTCCTCGACAGGAATGTCGCATCTTAAATTCCCCACGTACGTAGAAAAGTTACTAGGCGTTGAACTAGTGGAGGAAGTAGCGTTGTTAGATGAAGACTGATCCATTCTTTACGAATATAAACTAAGATCCTTTAGTCTCGATAAAAGAAAGATGGAAAAACGAGAAGAAACAGAAGAAACTTTATGGAGATTTCCCTTAATTCTTCACCGAAGTTTGAATGAATGTAATGAACCAATGCTGTTGAAAAGACTCGATAATTTCTTGTGAAACCCAGACTCGTAGCAATTTAATTTTCTTGAATTTTGATAGKAATAATAAATGTTTTTTTCTTAGAATTTGTTTGTTGTCGACATGCGCAGCGCATCGCGAGGAACCACAGGAAGCCCAAGCGTTTCATTAAAAAAAAATTATTCAGTAACATTGCACAGGTTGAGAAAAGACTCGAAGTCCACGCGAGCTCAGCCAGAGACAAAATACATATACATATAAGCTACATTTAAACAAAAATACATTAAAATATAAAGTGAAGTAAAGTTTAAGACAAGCGACAGCAAACAGCAGTGACATGGTAACGAAATTTAATTTATTCATTTTTTGGATTCCTGTGTGTCATTTGACACCTTACTATCCTAGCATGCTTAGCGTCACACAGGACTTCACGTGGTCGGTCGGAGGAAGGAGCAAAGGTGGGATTAATTCTCTTTTTTTCCTCGAAATATCTTCGTTTCAAGGTATGAAAAGCTTTATTAACATCAATTCTACTCACTTTATGTATCTTTAATCAATATTTATGAGAGGTAATTACTCTTAAGGCGTTTATACTGTGAATTTTTGAGAAAAGCTTGTGTTGTTTGGACTTGGCAACTGAAAAATCAAAACCATCGATCGCAAAGTAAGAAAGAGCTACAAAAACTTAGTAAAGCTTAAATTCAAACATTTTCTTCATAAAGACAATTGCTTTTCTTTTGATTTGTATTGATTTTGAGTTGGTGATCAGGGGTAACTTTTTTTAGCGTAGCTTCATGCCGATAGACACGCATTAGACATTTCCGATTTAGCGGCATATGAGCGGAATAGG